TGTCCTTGTTTTTCTGTTCTTCTCTCTTTCTCGTTTTCTTTCACCTCCCCTCTCTCATTACCCCTCTCCCTCTCTCTCTTTTCCCTTCTAAATTTTATAGCCCAGGCTGAGGTAAGCAGTGGCAGTTTCCTGCTTCTGCTTCCTGACAGCTGGGGTTGCAAGTATGAGCCACTGTGTCAGGTTGTCAGTTTTTTCCTGTCACCCATTTATGGCACCGAGTTAGGAAGTTTTGATAAAGATGGTCCAGATTTCATAAAGCACATGAGCCCCCTGGAAACCTTTTAGGCCAGCGTCCCCTGGGTCAGGGACTGCTTTTTTAAAACATTATTTGTGAGTGCATGGAAGTCAGAGGACAGCTTGCTTTTCTCCTTCCATCATGTGATCCAGCTCAGCTTGTCAGGCTTGGCCATAGGTGCCATTGTCTGCTGGCCACCATCTTTGCTGGCTCAGTACTCTTTGGGAAACACTCATCTAGGGCCTAGCTGCCCATTGGTTAGGTTCAGGCGGAGTTGCGGCTTCCTGAATTTCCCTCTTGTCTTCTTCCCTCTGTACTCTGATTAAACCAACTGTATTCTCTCCCAGAAACAGTCCTCAGCCCTACTCTGTTTTTTAAATTGTGTCTTTCCTGAGATAAGGTCTCTACCTCAGGCTAACCTCAAACTCACTATTTAACTGAAGATAAGCTTGAACATGATTTAGCCACCCCTGCTCCCTGACTGCCGAGATTATAGATGTGTGCCACAGTGTCCAGTTCCTGAAGCCCTAATGACAATGGAGAACTTCTGCCATCTTTCGAAGTTGAGGTTGAGCAACCCCTCTTGGAGAGGGGTCTTGGTTTCTTCTCTTCCTCACCACCCACTTCCCTGCCTTTTGCTTCTCTGGATCCTACCCTAATTACAGAATCTTCTGCTGTTGGAAGTGTCAGTGTTTCTGGTACTCCTATCTGGAGACACAGGCTTATTGAGAGTTCCAGGCTGGCCAGAGCTATTAGGAGTACTATTCTTCCAGAGCTCCCAGATTTGATTCCCTGCCATCCAAGGGTACTGCATGCATGCATGTACACAGATGTACATACATGCAGGCAAAACACCCATACACATGAAATGAAAACAATACAAAAGGAAAAACAAAGAAACATGAGTTTTAGGTACAGTGTCAATTTACAAAGGAGTCTCTTAGTGGCTTAGTTACATACTGAAGCTGGGAATTCTGTCTTCCTTTTCCTCCTGCCTGTGGATGGAACACACAGCTCACCTGTTAACCTTTCCCCAATCCTACTAGCCTGTCTGGTAGATGTTGAGATGTTCAGGCTGAGCCAGGTGACATTAGTTGGTGAAAGCAGTTACTAGTGCTAATCTCTCCTGTAGTCAGTTCATGAGTCTGTTTGCCTCAAGCGCGGGGTCAGAGCACACACACATGTAGATTCTCTTTGTAATTGACTTGCTATATCAAAGGCCCTTACTAAAGCCCTGTGACTGATGAAGCTAAGCTGTCCCAAGGTAGGTAGCAACTATGTTCTTATAAGTTCTACTGGGTCAATCTCTCATATTATATCCTACAGGGTCGACGCCTAAGATGGTCGTTACTGCTGCTTCTTTTTATGAGTCACAGATAGGCCCTTTCACCCATCTGGTCACTTATTTTTATTTTAAAATTATTTACTTAAGCCGGACATGGTGGCACATGCCTTTAATCCTAGCACGTGGGAGGTAGAGGCAGGTATATCTTATGAGTTCAAGGCTAGCCTGGTCTACAGAGTGAGTTCTAGGACAGCCAGGGCTACACAGAGAAACTCTGTCTCAAAAAACCAAACAATTGTTTTTTTTTTTTATTCTATGTTTTATGAGTATGTGTGTACCTGAGTATATGTGCTTCAAGCCTGTGCGAGAGTCTGAAAGGTCAGAAGACGGTGTTGGATCCCCTGGTCCTGGAGTTGCAGACAGTTGTGAGCAACCATTTGGTCTTCTGCAAGGGCAGAAAGTACACTTATCTACTGAACTGTTTCTCTGGCCCCAGTGTTGTCACTTAAGAGAATTAAAGAAGACAGACCACTTTCAGGAAACTGTGCTCCCCTTGGCTACTGTGGAGCCCCCTGGGGAGTTTTCTTTAGTTCTACAGTTGGAATACTCCAACACAGTACACTTTTCTTCTAATTCCAACATGGGGGAGGCAGACTACATGTTCAAGGCCAGCTTGGTAATGGAATAAAAACATCTCTCTGTGAGTTAGAAGCCAGCGTGGTCTGGGTAGCACAGTGTAGGCCAGCCAGCTCTACATGGTGATCTCTGTCTCAAAAACAAAAACAAAATTGTAATTGTGGTTGGAGAGATGGCTCAGTAGTTGAGAATGTCTACTCTTCCCTGGAACTCGGATTCAATTCCCAGCATCCATACGGCAGCTAACAACTATTAGTGTAGTTCCGAGGGACTCTTCTGGTATCCATTGGTACCAGGTGTGCACGAGGTGCACACAGGCATGCATACATGCAGGCAAAACACATGTACACATTAGAGAAAAATAATTATTTCATTACTTAAAAATGACATCTATATGTATGTGTCTGTGGTTTTGTGCACATGTGAATAAGTTTAAGTGCTCTGAGTCCAGAAGGTATTGGATCTCTTGGAGCTGGAGTTCCTGGCAGTTATGAGCCACCCAGTATTGGTACTGGGAACCAAAGTTGGGTCTTTCACAAGAGTAGCATGAGAGGGCTAGAGAGATGGTTCAGAGGTTAAGAGCACTGGATGATCTTCAAGAGGTTCATGGTGGCTCACAACCATCTATAATGAGATTTGGTGCTCTCTTCTGGTGTGCAGGCAGAACACTGTATATATACATAATAAATAAATTAAAAAAAAGAGTAGCATGAGCTTTTAACTGCTGAGCCAGCTCACCAGCTTCTCCCAGAGTCTCATATAGTCCAGGCTAGTTTCCAACTTGCTATGTGGTTGAGAGAGACCTTGAACATTCTTATCCCCTATCCCCAGAATACCAGGTTATAGACATACGCTGCCACAACTAGCTTTGTTTTGTTCTGAGACAGGATTTTGCTTTAAGACATTAAAAAAATTATTCATGTTTGTGTGTATATGCACAAAATGGCATACATGTGGAGGTCAGAGAATAACTTGCAGCAGTTGGCTTGCCTTCCACCGTGTGGGTCTCAGGGCATCAAGCTTCTTGGTGGCAGGTATGTTTACTGCTGAGCCATCTCTCCAGACCAGGTCTTTTGTCTGGAAACCCATGCTGACCTTGAACTTGGAATAGTCCTCGTCCTCAAGGTCTCCAGTGCTAAGATTACAGATGCATGCTACAATATTAGCTTTTTTTGTGTGTGTGTGTGCGCGCGCGCGCGCGAGGTCCAGCGTCTGACTATATAGCTCCAGGCTGGCCTACAGTTCTCAATCTTCTGCCTCATGAGTGTTAGCAGGGATGTGCCACTTGGTTTCCCTGGGTATTTTAGCCATAAAATGATTTAACACAGGGAACCAGGCACTTAGAAAACAGTAAAGGATTGGAGTTGGGAGACTCAAGGATGCTGTCTGTGGAGTACCAAAGTTTGAGGGGCTCTCAGTGGAGCCTTAGCAGCTAGGATGTCATTATTGCCATTACCACCCACGCCACTGCTCAACACTGACAGAGCAGCTGCTACTGAAGAGCAGCAGCAGCTACTTCCAGGAACTCCTCAGTGCTCTGAGGTCAAAGGCCAAGCTATTCAATCAGGAGCTGCATTTTAACACTCCAGGGATTTACATGTGAATAGTTGGTGTGGTCACTAAACTATGGGTCTCTGTCATCTTAGTAGCTTATGGGAAGGGAATGAGGGAATGTTGTTTGTTTTCCCAATTCTCAGTGTAGAAAGGATGGACTAGAGACTGAAAGAGCCGAGCTGGTCGTGCTTCTGCTTCCTTCCAGATATTTGGTACATCTTCATCTTTAAAAAGAAGTAGCTGGGTGTGGCGCCACATGCCTTGCATCCCAGTGCTCTGGTAGAGGCAGGTAGTCTAGCCGGGGCTACATAGCAATGGCCTGTCTCAAACACAAACAACTAAACAAAAACATACATGAATGAACCAAAAACTTCACATATACAAGTAATAGGGCCTGTGAGATGGCCCAGCAAGTCAGGGCACATGCCATCAAGCTTGCCAGCCTGAGTTCTGTTCCTGGGACCCACACACCAGAAAGAGAATTACTTCCCAGAAAAGTTGTGCTCTGATTTCATGCTGAATGATGTGGTATACTGTACACACAATTCACAAGATGCAATAAAGAATTAAATGTGTCATATAATAGCTCATCCTACGTGGCTTCTGGGGATGGGATTCAGATTATCAGTCTGTGGCAACAGCTTTTACCCACAGAGCCGTGTCATTTGCTCCAGATCAAGACTTTTATTGTTTGTTTGTTTGTATATTTACTTTTGCGACAGGGTCTCTAGTCCAGGTTGGCCTGGGATTCATGGCACTTTCTCCTGCTTCAGCCTGTTAGGTTCTTGAATCCAGGTCTATTATCTTCTATAATTTATTTGACCCAGTTACACAGCATCACAAATTGTTAGGGGTTTTGTTTTTGTTTTTCTCTTTTGAGACAGTATTCATGAAGCCCAGTTGGTCTGGCCTCAAATTTTCCTCAGGTCTGGTTTCAAAATGGTAGGACTTTGGTGCTGGAGAGATGGCTCAGCAGTTAAGAGCACTGGCTGTTTTTCCAGGGGAGCTGTGCTTGATTTCTTAGCACCCACATGGTAACTTAGAACCATCTGTAACTCCAGTTTCAGGGGATCTCACTCCTCTGGACCTCTGTGGGCCACAACAGACACACAAGTGGTACATAGACATAATGTAGGCAAAACAGTCATTCAAATAATTAAATCTTTAAAAACAAATAAGAAAAATAAAAACAACAAAAAGGTAGGTCTTAAATACTGTGGTATTATGTTCTATTGGAAGAGGCCTATGTATTTTGAACAGTCACTAATATTTTCCTTTTTTCTGACTCAGGTATCCAGCTCACATTGAAGACATTGACTACGAAGAAGGGAAAGTTCTCATCCATTTCAAGCGTTGGAACCATCGTTATGATGAGTGGTTTTGCTGGGACAGTCCTTATCTACGCCCTTTAGAGAAAATACAGCTGAGGAAAGAGGGTTTACATGAAGAAGATGGATCTTCTGTGAGTAGCAGATCAGTGGAGTTCTGTAATGAATGAGGCTTGTCAGTTGCAGGCAGCAGTGTCTAGCCTTTGATCTTCAGTGGGCAAGTCAGTACCCACTGATGAACAGTCGTTGTCTTGGCTTGTGGGGGTGATGCTGAGGGCTCTATGGAACAGGGCTCCTTAAGAGGCCAGTTTTCACTTGTTTGCTGCAGTAGATGTAATAGCTCATAAATTAGCTGTTTTGGGATTCCATCCTTATCAATAGGATATTATGTCTCTTTTCTAGAGACCACTGTTTTCCTAGTGTTCAAAAATATTACTGGGTACATAGTAGGTTTCCAGGAAGTATTTGTATAATAAGCCAGGTGTGGTGGCTCATCCTGTGGTGGTTCTTGGGAGGCCAAGGTTCATGGATTGCTTTGAGTTTGAAGCCAGCCTGGGCAACAAAGTAAGACCTTGTCTTAAACACCCTTACCACCATCTCTCCCATGCCAGGAATGATGATACATGCCTCTAATCCCAAGTCTGAGGATATAGAGGAAGAGGAGGATCAAGAGATCAAAAGCTGAATAACCAAACCAAACCAAAACAGTGGAGCTGTTCTCAGTGCTTGAGAGGCAGAGGCAGGATATCAGCTTTGTTTACACAGGAGGCCAACCAGAGCTACATAATGAGACCAATCTTAAAACCAACAATAAACCAAAATATCATCCCACCAAATTGTTGAATAATGAATGAATGGTTGAAATCTAGACCCACTGTGTCTAGAACATTGCATACTAGATAAGGGAGCTTTGACAATCATTTGCTGTGCTGATTTTCATTTATTAAGCAGTCATTTTATATATGGACCCTTAGCTTGTTTTGCTTTTGTTTTTGAAACAGGGTTTTTCTGTTTAACAAGAGCCTTGGCTGTTCTGGACTCTCTTTGTAGACCAGGCTGGCCTTGAACTCACAGAGATCCATCTGCCTTTGCTTCTGGGAACAAAGGCATGCACACCATGCTTGCCTTTACACAAAGTCTTATAAGCCCTGGAGAATTTGACTTGATTGGACCATTTTCACTTTTCTAAATTTCATCATTGTGGTTGGAGTTTTAATTGCCTTCAGAATGACACACAAACCTTTACTTTTGTTTAAAACAGACATTGAGACATCCGTGGTAGCCCTTGCTCTGGGATCTGACTCAGCCTGCGTTCTTATTTCCATTTAACCTTACTGAGGAACTTAGATTCTGGCAGGCCTCTTTGTTTTGCTTCCTCCCTCCACCCCCTTCTAGTTTAGGGTTGTTCAGTATTGTTGCATTTGATCAGTCCGTGCTCATTCTATAGAATTTATGAATGCAAACTGTGTGCTGAGAAAACAGCATGAAATATGAAGGGTGCATGAGTGCCTCCCTTGGTCAGGGACCCAGCTGTAGTGTGGGTGGCATGAAATGCCATGAATGCTGCTTCCCTGAAGATGAAGTAGCCTCATTTCTTCCAGCTTCTAAACTAGGTATATTCTCAGGTGGCCCTGGACACATAGGTTCCCTTTCATTATGAATACCAGATAAGAGAAGGTTGTCTCGGGACTGTCCCGTGCCTTCCCAGACCTCCCTGGCTTAGGGACCCATATGCCTTAGCCTTTTTATTTGTTTTGTTTTGTTCTTTGGTTGTTTGAGACAGGGTCTCACTGTGTAGCCCTGACACTCCTGGAACTCATTATGTAGTCTCAAACTCATAGAGATTCTCCTGCTTCTATTTTTCAAGTACTGGGATTAAAGGTGTGTGTAGTCATGCCTAGCTACTTTTTTTAAGATTTATTTTATTTTGTGTGTATGGGTGTTTTGCCTGTGTGTGTGTGTGTGTGTGTGTGTGTGTGTGTGTGTGTGTGTGTATTTGGTACTTTTGGAGGTCAGAAGATGGTATCAGATCTCCTGGAACTGCAATTATAGATGGTTGTGAGTTACCATATGGGTGCTTGGAACCAAACTCAGATCCTCTGCAAGAGCAGTAAGTGCTCTTAAGCCATTTCTCCAGCCTCAGACTTCTTATTTTTTTTGGCTCCCTGTGCTGAACATAAGAATCATCTTACATCTCAATAGCCCATTCCAATCCACTCTCATTGGTCTGTTTTTATTATAAATATATATGTGTTTGTATGTTTGTATATGTGTATGTGTTTGCCTGCATGTATGCCTATGTACTATGTGTGTGCTTTGTGAATGAAAGAGGCCAAAAGAGAGTGTTGGATCCTTTGGAAATAAGACAATTTTGAGCTTCCGTGTGGGTGTTGGTACCTGAATTCCATTCCTCTGCAACAGCAGCAAGTGCTTGTAACTGCTAAGCCATCCCTCCAGACCCCAGATTTATTATTATTTTTAACTTAAAATGACGTTTATTTTTGTGTGCATGATGCACATGTGCAGAAAACTTGCAAGGGTTGGTTTTTTCTACCATGTGGGTCCTGATCGTAGTGCCGGACCCATTTTTTTTCTTAATTAGTTATTTTATTTATTCATTTGTGTGTATATGTATGCATGTATATATGTATGTGTGTGTGTACACTTAGGCCACAGCATGTTTTAGATGTCAGAGAAAAACTTGCAGGAGTTGTCCCTTGTTCTAGTATGTATGCCCCAGGGATTGAGCTCAGGTTATCAGGCCTAGCAGCAGTTGCGCCTCATCCACAGAGCCATCTTGCCAGCCTTTGTTCATTTTTGAGGAAGAATCTTCCTGTGTGGCCAAGGCTGACTCAAACTCTTGATCCTTCTGCCTTAGTGTCCTGAGTGCTAGGATTACTGATTCTCAGCCCCATACCAGCCCTCCCTTACTCCTCATGAGCATCCCAGATGCTTTTATGAATTGTGCTATAATATGCACCCTATGAAATTCAGTTGGTAACTGAATGTTTACTTTTTTTTTTAATAGGAATTTCAAATAAACGAGCAAGTGCTTGCTTGTTGGTCTGACTGTCGATTCTATCCAGCCAAAGTCACTGCTGTGAACAAGGATGGTAAGGTGTTACAGCTGCAGTTTTCACTCTTGCCATAGGGAAATTGTACAGTACGAGTACTTGGTAGTGTATCAGTGTTTATCGCCTAGTAATATTTTTTTTTCCAGCTAATACGTCTGGCACTAGGGGGAGATTATAAATGACTAGAAAGCTAGATATGAAGGAAGGGTTTACTGTAGTTTCAATCCCCAGGAGGGAGAGGGAGAGGGAGAGGGGAGATTAATTTTTGTTACTAAATTTCAGTCATTATTTCATTGAGTGATTCTGTTGACAAGTCTGTGGGTTCTTTCTGTCCTAGTATTTTGGTGACATAAATACTATTTTTTAGTTTTCTTTGTTAACAGCTTATAAATTAAGTAAATATTAACAAATATTTGAAAATATGCTTTGTGGATACAAGGTGATTTAGGGTGACAGCTGAGACGCTGGGATGCAGAGCCCCAGTGTGGTTGCCTAGCAGTTTTGAACTTGTGGGAAAACAGGCCAGGGGATTTGATCCAAAAAGTTGCCTTCTTTCGAGTTCATGGGCATGGTATGGGGGGGTGGTTCACAGCATCAGAAGGGACTCTGGGTCCGTGTGATGTTTTTCCTTAGCATATTCTAGTGGATGTCTGGGGTCTTTGGAAGATGTTGTGGGCAGTCAGGTCTCGTGTATCAGGTCAAGGGGCTAAGGATGTAGCTCAATAATAAAGCACTAGCCTAGCATGCATGGGGCCATGGACCAATCCAAAGCACTGCAAAGAAAGGAAGAACAAATCAAAACAAAACAGAAAATAGCAACCAACATCTGTCTTTGTTGTTGTTGTTTTGACACAGAATCTCACTATGAAACCTTGGCTGGCCTAGAACTCATAGAGATCCCCATTTGCTTCTGTCTCCTGTATTGGGATTAAAGTTATGCATACTGCAGCTGGCCCATGAATTTATTTAGCTGTTTATTCATTACTTTGCCAAGTGTTGGGATGAATAAGTTTTGTCAGAGAATGCTTGACATTATCTAAAGAAACCTCCAATGTGAGGTTCCATCTGTTGAGCTATCTAAGCGATTACTGATTTTCAGTTCATGTGACATCCTTTTGGATAGTTCCATTTTCCCCTAAATTATGTTATCTATAAGCCTGTGTTCCAAATAACATCTGATTAGTGATTTTCACATATACCTTATTAACAAATGGCTTGTTTGTGGGGGAAGCTCACATGTTGAACCATGGCAGGTCCTCTTAGAAATAGACATAGTTAGGTTAGGATGCATTATGCCCCTCCAGACTCTTCTTTTCAAGATGTCTTTCTTTGTTTACTGGCTTTTGTATCCGAGAGCTCTTCAGGTTCATAAACAGCCTGAAAAGCTATAGGGTGGTCAGTGCTGGTCAAGTCCTATCCTTCCTCCAATAAGAGTTACTGCAAGTGCTTCTTTGCAGAACTTCTGTCCTTCAGCTGGGATGAAAATTTGGTGGGGTATCATGGGTTACTCCTTAAATAACAGCAGCAGTTAGCAGGAACCATCTTTGAGTCCCATGAGGGTTAGAGTGACTGGGATCAGATGCAAAGGGGCAAGGGAGGGGCAGATGTGGAAGAGGATTTTAGGAGTTTCGTGTGGAGGCAAGAGATCTCTTAGCGTGGTGGCTTCATAGAGGTCACTGAAGTCTTAGGAACTAACAGTTTACATCTAGTATTTGCAGAAAACAACCAAAAAACCTAGTGAGGTAGAATGACGCCAGTGTTCAGTGGGCCCAGAGGACATAGTGCAAGAGCAGGACAGTGTGGACAAATGCTAATAATGGGAGAAGGGCATGGGTATGGGGTGGGTGTGAAACTTTTGGAAGTAATTATTTAAGGAGTAAACATCGTTGGCTATATTATTAGCTGTAGCTAATTAGCAGTTTTAAACAGCTTTTAAGCTGGGCCACCTGCAGTTGGGAATGGTGGCACATGCCTTTAATTCAACACTTGGGAGGCTAGACTAGAATTCAAGGATACCAAATTTGCAATCCGTTTTGGGCTACATAATGAGTTAGAGGTCAGCCTGGGCTATACAATGAGACTCTGTCTCAGGAGAAAGCACAGTGCAGCAAGGTGGCACACCCCTGTAATCCCAGCACTCAGGGAGACAGAGGCAGGCAGATCTCTGAGTTTGAGGCCTTCCTACAGATCAAGTCCAGGACAGCTAACACTACACAGAGAAACCCTGTCTTGAAAAAAACCAAACCAAAACAAAACCGAAGCAACAAAACCGTGCAACACAACAAATCAAATTAAACAGTAATGACAAAATAACTGGTGTAATTAAAGTACTACAAATTAAAAAACAAATTCTTTCAGTTGTTTTCTCATGAGCTATATTATAGGAAGGACAGTCTTGAGGCCGTGGGCTCCTGAAATGGTCACTGGCCGTCCTTGTAGATTGCTTCCATCTGCTTCATTTACTTACTTGAAGGATGGGGAGACTGAGTGGGGATTTCTGCTGAGGCCTGTTTATATTGTAGTGCCCACCTTTCTGCTTCTTGAGACTGGTTGATTGCAAGAAGGTAAGAGGATGTAGCGTGGGCTAAATTCTGACGTGGGAGGTTAGTGGACACTCTGAGAAAGTTGACCTTTGTGGAAGCTCAGCTCTGCGCCTAGCTTGCGAGAGAAGATGGTGAGCTCTGTCACTCCACTGGTTCTTAGGTGCTGTATTTGGGGTTAGCTTTTATTCTTTTATTCTTCCCACTTCATACTGCTTCATTCTAGGACTTCATTCTAGGGCTTGGTTGCTACAGTGCTCAGCTTGCTTGTCTTGTTTTGTTTTGAGACCAGATCTGCCTCTGTGACCTGTAGTACTTGTCCTGCCTCAGCCTCCCCAGTGCTGGGATTACAGGTATATGCCATCTTGCCCCTGCCCCACCCCTTCCTGTGTTCTTCTTTCTCTTTGGCTTTTTGGCATTGGGGATTAAATAAGCCCAAGGCTTCATGTGTGCCAGGACACTGCTCTACCACTGAGCTATATTAACTTCCTTTTCCTTTTTATCCTCAATTTCACCACCTGCCTCAGTTGGTTTTTTTGGTAGCCACATGGGCACTGTGAAGAGGTGGCACTGTGCTGGCAGGGTGCCCTTTGATTTCCTCTGTCCAGTCTGCTAGGAGGAAGTGCAACCCAGTGAACGACAGCTGTGCATTCCTCTTTAGTTTAGCATTCCTTGGAGTTTTCCTGATGCTGAGTGTTGGCTGAGCAGCCTATGGGGACTGCGGGCAGAGTGGGAGAGCAGCAGCCACTGTCATAGGGAGTCTGGCATGATTAAGCAGCAGTAAACAATTACTCAAGAATTTCTTAGGGAAATTGGTCAACACTGGAAAATAGGGAGAGAGTAGTCCTTGTCATCAATGATAGGTCTGAGGTCTCTGTTGTTGTTTGAGGTAGACTCCTGTAGCCCAGGCTGGCATTGAACCTACTGTGCGGTCGAGGATGCACTTGGCCCAATGCCACACCTCCAGAATGCCAGCATTATAAAATCCTGTTACCCGCCTGGTTTTTTTTTTTTTTTTTTTTTTTTTTAATTAAGATCTCATTCTGTACTCCTGGCTATCCTGTTCTCACTGTGCAGCCAAGGCTGACCTTGAGTTCATAGCAATCCTGTGTCAGTTTCCCAAGTACTGAGAGTACAGATGCAGGGCACCATGCTGAACGCTTTATTGTTTGTTTGTGTTTTTTAGCAGTGGAAAAAGAGTCTTATTTAGTATGAAGCAGGCATAGTTGGTAGCCATGTTAGACCCCCAGCCTCAGTTTATATAGGAGTAAAAGAGAGGATTTTGTGTTCATAAAGTCTGTGTGTGTGTGTGTGTGTGTGTGTGTGTGTGTGTGTGTGTGTGTGTCACATCAACTTTGCTGAGTTGAACTGGGCTTTTGTCTGGAGCTCTTTGACTCATCTTTCAAACATTTTTCCCCTTGAGTTAGTTGGGCCAGGTTGCTAAGGCTGTCCTTGACTTTTTGGCCTTAAGTAATCCTTCTGCCTCAGACTTCCCAGAAGTTGCATTACCACTGTGTACTGCCATGCCCACCAGCTCCATTTTTATTTGAAGAATCAGAGCCACATGGCTCCCCGCTCTCCAGGCTTTCTCTCTGAGGAACCTGCAACTGGGTAGCATTTGCACCAAGATAGGTTTCTTCCTGTTGCCCACATTGGCCTGGAACTTGCTGTGTAGCCTTGAACCTGCAGTGGTCTTTGTGTTGCGGCTTCCTAAGTACTGGGGTTGAAGGTGACTGCACTAAGCAAGTCTTCTTCCTAACTAAACACATATTTCTAGGTCGCGTGCTCCCCTTTCCTCCTTTTCAGTCTATTTTGGGCCAGTGCCTGGAGCTTGTGTTTATTACAGGAAATGCTGTTGAAATGATCTTCTCAGGTCTCTGCAGAAGCAGTTCTTTTTTTTTTTTTTTTTTTTTAATTTTTTTCATGCTGTAATTGAGCCTACATTTGGAGTCTGGGAAGGCTGGTACCTTGTGAACAGCTTTGCACAGAGGGAAGTAAAGGGAAGACTTAATGTCCACGCTTGCAGGATCTGACCTTGTTCTCATTGTATTGTCAGTGGAGGTTAATTTACTCTTCTTTCAGAGTGACTTGTCAGGTAGTGAAAATTAGAGCCACTTTTTTATGTTTCTCTGTGACAGGCTCTGTGCTAAATAATTTCCACACTTTGTTGCTTTTAAAACTGAGTCTCACTGTATAGCCTGGGTTGGCCTAGGCCTCATGCCTTTCTTGCTTCTGCCTCCCAAGTGCTGGGTCTGTGCCACTATACCTGCTGGAATTTCCACATCTCATATCACTAGTTTTCACAAAGATTAGAGAGGCTGCTACCACCAAATTCCTCTTCATTTCATAGGTGAGAAATTAAGCTCAAGGAGAAAATGGACATAGATGGACACAAAGAACATAGAGCCGAGGTTTGGGGTCTGCATGCTCTAGAGTGCTGGAACTGCATCCCAGCAGGGTTTCCCTGAAAGGTCCCTGTTGTCCAGTGTGCCTCCATGT